CTGCAAGATCCAGACACACATGAGAGTGTCTACCTGTCTATAAGTACAATATATATTTATTATTTATATATAATATAAATTTATATTATGTATATTTATATTTTATATATATTATTTATATATATTTATTTATATATTTATTTTGCCAGAAGAATGAGGCCAGGGCATACCTATGGAGTAGGAGGAATTGCTCACAGTCTGTTGTTAGATATGCACAGAAAAAGGTTATGGATCACACAGCCCTGGATTTCTAAGGAATAATAAACTAATAATTAGTTTTCCAGCTCTGTAGGGAATGATTATGGAGTGTTTTGTGTGGAGGGTGAGGAGCAGCAGGAGGGGAAGGGGCAGGAATGGGGGTCCCATCACCCCCAAATCTGCAGCACAACCAGGAGGGTGTTGGTTTGTAGGGAAAATTCCTGGGCTAAAAAAATCACGTCTTGCTCTGGATGTTTCCATAAATAACAGGATGGAGTTAAATACCTGCATTTCCTTTGATTCCTGCTGGGATGCAGGAGTTACTGATGTTACTACCTGTACTTTTGTCTCTGAATTCCCAACTTCCCTGATCTCTCTCTCCTCTCTCAGACCCCAAAGTACCAGGTCATCAACAATCCTGCCCTCTCCCCTCACTCCCTAATTTCCTTTTCCACACTTCCACACAAACCTGCCTCACTCCTGCACCTCTTTTCTTATCTCACTATTCATCATCAACCTCTATTTTTCAATATTCCAGAAATATTATGTATTTCTGGGCTTCAAACACACAACACTCCTCCCCTTAGAGGGAGCAAACTGGGCAAAATAAAGAGAAAAATATCTTGAAAATCCTCCAAGAAACTAAAGGAAATTACTAAATAACCACCTCAGCATTTAGTTTCTAGTCAAATTAATAAATTACCTGGTTCAAGATGTTTCAAATTCAGTTTTTTCTGAGCTAAGCCTGGGGCTGAGCAGCAAAAGGAGCCCTGAGGGAAAGCCCAGCTGGCACAAAACCACCCAAGTGTTTGAGCCACACTTGAGTTCACTGATACCTTGAGGCTTTTTCTGCTGTCACCACATCAACTCCTCAGCAAAGACTGACAAAAATGCCACCTTGGAGTCTCCTTCTTCCTCCTCCCCATGCTGCACAGACCCAGATAAATCCCCTCCAAAACCTGTAGGACTCTCACAGGCTCCTCACTGCCTCAAAACCCAAATACTCTCAGGGCAATTTAAATTATTTTAGAGTAATTTAAATTATTTTCACAGCATTCACAGCCAAAAGCATCTCACAGACACAACTTACCTGTGTGGAGGCAATAAAACTTTGATTAAATCCTCTTGGGAGAGGCAGGATTAGTTGAGCAGCTCAATAAAAACACCCCACCACAGGTTTTTTTCTGATGAGAATGAGCTGGGCTAGGGGGAAGAAATAATTAACTAATAATTAGTAATATGGGTAGTGATCATGGAGAGTTTTGTGCTGGTGGAGGGGATTAGAGAAGCAGGAGGGGAAAAGGCAGGAATGGGGAGTCCCATCACCCCAAAGCTGCAGAACACTGAGCCCCAGTTCCCCACCTGCTGAAAACCAGTAACCACTGGGTGAGGGTGGGGTTTGTTTGGTGTTTTGAAGCTTTGCCAAGCTAAAATTTGCTTTTTTATGAGTTTTTTTTTTTTGTGCTTAAGTGCAGTGTTTAGGGTGGGATTGTGAGCAAACAACTCAGACTGAGAGCTCTGGTTAAGAAGTAACCAGGTTGGAGAGTCAAACCTGTGTGTTAACAGGGCAAAGCTCAGCTTTGCATCCTTAAACCAGACCTAAGGGTATCACCCAGACCTAAGTGGTGTCACCCACCAGCTGCTGACAAAGGAAGCCCTGATTTCCCTGGAAACAAAGGGAATTATCCCAGAGCAGGATCCTCTGAAAAAGCCAACACACAAGGGATTCTTGCAGCTGGCACAGGCTGCCCTTGTTGTCCCCAGGCAGCTGCTGGGAGTGTGTGTGGATCTGGGCATGTAGCTCCTGGATTTAGGGAAAAGTCCCCCCTAAACCAGTGCCAGGCTGCACGAAATTTAGGGATTAACTGGAATTAAATTAGCCCCCGAGGAAAGGGAATAATTTATTTCGTTTATTTTATTCTGTTTCAAATAAACTGCGAGGATTTTCCTCTGTATTAATGTTATTTATAATTAGATCTCTCTCTGCTGGAAATTCTGACTGTTGGTGCTGTGGCACAGCAATTGCATAAAGGAGATATTTTTTGGACCAAAAATATAGAATGCCAGGATGGTTTGGGCTGGAAGGGACCTTAAAGCTCATCTTATTCCACCAGGGACATCTTCCACTAGCCCAGGTTGCTCCAAGCCCCCTCCAGTCTGGCCTCAGACACTTCCAGGGATGGGGCAGCCACAGCTTCTGTAGGCCAGAATTCCATGGATATTCCCATGGATACAGTTCATTCTCCTTCCTCAGCCCTCCAGGTCCCAGTTTAAGAGTAAAGGAAGGAATTAATTTAACAGCCTCAGGCCCATGGGCAGCTTTTAAGTGGCAGCACTGTGGGTTTGTCACCTCATTTCTAAAGTACACAAATTCAGAAATATATTTATATTTATATTTATATATATGCTGTGTACCTTGCAACACAACGATAACCTCCTTGTCTGCATCCATCAGCCATTTTATTCCATGCAGCCATGAAAATCAATTCCACAGGGGTCTGAACCAGCAGCTTTCACCTTTCCCTCAGGAAAAGTGCAGGGAGAGCTGCTCTCCAGAGCTGCAGCAGAGGGAAAACCAAGCAGAGCAAGTGTGCTCTGGTATCTCAGATCATGAAAACCACCCCAGGAATAAAAATGGTATTGCCACTCCATAATTATTTCCAATTATTTGAGCAACAGCATCACTTCCAAATTGATGTTTTCCCATATATATCCAGATTTGTGCAGTTAGCTGAGCCTGACTGGGCAGCTTTTAGAGCAAGACCAGGTTTGAGGGTTATTCCCGTGACAAATAACTCCCATCCCGCGGTCTCTCCATTCTGGATCAGCTCCTGGAGCTGCCTAAAATTACACCTGGCTTTCCTGGGCTTTAGGAACTCCAGGATCCCTTCAGATGGGGCTGTCCCAGGATCCCTGGAAGTGTCCAAGGCCAGGCTAGATGGGGCTTGGAGCAACCTGGGTTACTGGAAGGTGTCCTTGTCCATGGCAGGGGGTTGGAATTAAATGGACTTTAAGGTCCCTTCCAACCCAAACCATCCATGCTGGGATTCCATATTTTTGGTCCAAAAATATCTCCTTTATGCAAGTCCTGTGTCATAGCACTAACAGTCAGAATTTCCAGCAGAAAATTATAAATAACATTAAGACAGAGCAAAATTCCTGTGGTTTATTTGAACTAGAAGAAAATAAATACAATAAACTATTCCCTTTGCCCAGGGCTAATTGAATTCCTATTAAAGGGCTGAAGGACTGAAGTTTTGACCTTTGGCCAGAGAACTTCATCAGCCATCCAGACTTAACCCTGATTTTTGCTGCCACTGGAGCAAGCCAAGCTCCCAGAGCATGTTCCTGTGACAAATCTAACTCCCATCCCGCGGCCTCTCCGTTCTGGATCAGCTCCTGGAGCTGTCTAAAGTTACACCTGGCTTTCCTGGGCTTTAGGAACTGCAGGATCCCTTGTTGAATGACACCTCAATTAGCAGGAAAGGGCAAGGAGCCCCCAGCCAAGATGGCAGGCACAGCAAAGGGCCCCTCTCCCCTCTTTGACCCTCGGGATTATTTTTTCCAGCCAGGTGGCTGCCAGTGGAAGGGGAATATTGTTCTTTGCTGTTTATGCTCTTAGAAATGGGAGCTGCTCCATGACCCAGCTTCTTTTTTTCCTGTTCTTAATAAAAAGAGGCTTTAAAAGGAGCGGGCACATGAGGCAAGGCAGTTATTTTGCTCTTGTATTTCAGCTCCTCATCACTAACGGGGTTTTTACTCCCTCCACATGTACAGTGTTAATTTTTAACTCCAAAGCCCAGGTTTTTTTGCTCTCTCCCAAGTTAAGAACAGCTGAATATAAAGCTGAGCTGTAAATCCTGCACTGTGGCACGAGGATCTCATGAATAAAGCAACGAATTCCCTGAACCCAAGTGGCTGAGCAGAGGATTTGGAAGAGATTCCTCCATCCCAACCTGGAAAATCCCCACCTGGTGTTGATGAGGTAACAGCTCTGAAAACAAGCTCTTATACTGGACATTTAACTTGCCACTCCCTGAGAACACACATTTTTGGGGCTTCTCCCTCAACATTTCTACTGAAGTCTGATTAAAAATGATCACCCAGTCTGAACTTGAGGAGTGTCCACGTGGAAAGATCCCAATCACTGAAGACCTGACGATAATTAGGCAGGAAAATGTGACCTTACCTTTCTTTCCCCTAAAAAGGAATTCATTTTGTAACTCTGAAAGTTGTTCTGGCTTTTATTATCAGAAGTTCAGTTACACTGCATTCAAGGACTTTTATTTCCTAGTATATTAATATAGTTAATTAATACACAGTTTGAGGTCTGATGGGAGGGGAATGGAACTGGAATAGCTCTTCTGGGAATTAATATGAAGAAAGTTCTGTTTAGAAAAATATTGGGAAATCATCCCTCCCCTCAAATCCTGGCATGAAACATTAATATCAGTGAAGGCAAAACTCTCATTATTTCCAGTGAGATTTCTGACAAGGAAAAATCCCTTACAGGACAAAACTTGACATGAATTTAAAAATGAGCATCCCAAGCTTAACTGGAATAACCTGACAGCTCCCACCCTTTCTAAAACACAGGAAGTACAGCAAAGCACAGGGAAAGGTAACATCAAGTTGTCAGGATATTTACAATATATATAAACTCTTTCACAACTTGATTTTTCTAATATTTACCCAACAAAGTTCTCCCCGAGTCCAGCAAGACACCACCCCTCTTTTATCCCATGAGCTCGCTTGTGCTCACCAAAATTAAGTGTATTTTGCAAACAGACAAGACACGTTGCAGCTTCTCAAGCTTTTTTAATCCTCTTGATGAGAATGAGGAAATCAAACAGCAATAAAAGACTTTGAAGTGACAGTTTTCTTGGACAGCAGAGCAGAGGGTAAGAACTGGGGCTCTGGAAATACAGCACAAATTCCAGGACAAAGGGAAAAACAAAAATCCTGCCCCAGCAGCCACACACTTAAACCTTGGAATGCGGGCAGAGTAGAGCCAGTGAAGGGAAGGTGAGTAGGATAACCTTGGAATTGCTGGCTTTGGGAGGGAATTCAGGGTGGGCAGCACTCACTTCTCCAGGGGAAAGGCTTCCTCACTTCTCCAAGGGAAAGGCTTCCTCACTTCCACCTCCCTGGTCCAGCAAAGTTCCCAAGGACAGGGACAGGCACTTGGGAAAGGATCTGGTTCTAAAGCCATTAAAGCCAAGAAAAGGACTTTGGTGGAAACTGGCTGAGACCTGAGTAGGGAACAGAAGAACTACACACACCCAGGACAAGGTTTAAATTCATGTTGTTGGTGAACACTGGGAAAAGACAGAAGGATAAAATCCCAGGCTACCTGAGGGGAAGCTGAAACTCTTGGATCCTCATCCTGGGCAGTCATTATCCTCAAAATTCAACTTTCTGATGGAGTCAAGACTGAGGGATTCCCATTGTTACATGACTGCAGGGGTGTCATAAAGAATGGCCCCAAAACTGTGATGAGATTAAAATCTGCTTTATTCCTTCACCTATGGAGCCAAATTTCAAGGCATTGAAATTCCAGGTGTTCCAAGTGCCTTGAAATGTCTTCCCTGTTCTTCCCCCAGTGCCTTCAACTGATCTGATTGTTTTTGTGATCCCTGAAGAGCCTGAACTGATTTACTGAAACCCTCCTTTTATAATTGCACTAATTGATCATAATTGCTCTTTGCACAGGCATTTCAAAATTCCAGAGACAAGTCCAAATTGCATCAGAGTCCAGGAAAACAATGATGATATCCAGGCATTGCTCTATTATCTTTTTTTTCCCCTCCTGTATTTAATGACCTAAGAAAGTTACAAAAGCAACTTTAAATTACCTTTATATATATAAACTAATTAAATATATTTAGCTAACATTGAGAAAATAAATCCCAAGCACCATGAAGACAAAAAAAAAAACCAAAAACAATAAGAGATGACTGATTTTAGAGTAATTTAAGACTTTTTATGGAGTCTGTGGATGTAGCAGTTGAGTGAACACTTCCTTACTAAAGTATTACCTGTATTTAGAGCTTATCTCAATATCCTCTTTTTAAAACACTGAGTAAGTGATTAGTCCAGTATTAACTTCTGTAGTTTTTATAAAATTCTATATTCTGGGAGCACAATTTTATTGCTTATTCCACTCTTTTTTTCGCCACTTAGTCATTTCAGTAAGTGGCAGAATTCCTAGAAATTTCAGTGGCATCCGGATTTTTATTACTAAGCAGATTTGCTGGACATTGAAAGACAAGGTGGTTGAGAGGTGTGTCTTGTATGATATTAAAAAATATTAAAAAACAAAATGCAAGTAACTATGTTTAAACTCATTTAAGATGAAGGAAACTCACAGCTTGAAACTCGTGTGGCACTAAAGGATCTGTCTGGATGCTGCCAATTCATCTTTCCAAGTCACATGTGGTGACTTATTACTTCTATTACTTATTCCACTTTTTTTTGCCACTTACTGAAATGATTAAGTGGTACAATTCCTACAAATTTCAGTGGCATCAGGATTTTTATTACTAAGCAGATTTGTTGGACACTGAAAGACAAAATGGTTGAAAAGTGTGGCTTGTGTGATAAAATTAAAAAGGAAATGCAGATAACTATGTACTTGTAAATTTAAACTCATTTAAGATGAAGGAAACTCACAGCTGGAAACTCGTGTGGCACAAAAGGATCTGTTTGGACGCCGCCAATTCATCTTTCCAAGTCACGTGTGGTGAACACAAAGACTGAGAATAAATAACAGCTACTTTATTACCTAAGAACACTTGAAAACGTGGCATTTCCTTGGAGAGGATCATCAAGTCAAAGGGTGCAAAGGGCTTTAATTGCCACTGAGTTTCCTCATGATGGGGCTGTCGGGCTCGGCGTTGGTGAAGATGCTCCCCACCAGCACGTGGGTGCCCCAGAGGTTGTGCCGGATGACTTTGCAGCAGCCGAGGTCGTCCACGGAAAATCCCAAGTGCCTGTAACGCTCGTCCGTCTCGAACAGGG